GCGCGGAATTCATCATATCGGATGTCAGAGGCCTGAACTTGTTTTTAAATGGATATCCTCTTTTCACCTCAGGAGCACTTTTAATTGTTACTTAATAATCTGTAGTGTAGATTTATCCCATCTCGCTTTTCCAGGATCGAGACGTGAACAGAGTCTCGCAGCAACTTGTTGCTGCTCATTCCCGAAACTGGCCTACCAAACGAATAATTCGACAGGTATGGGATTGCATCATTAATAAAACTTTATCGAAACATTTAATACATTGCGTGCTACTGTTGGAAATATTTGCTAACCGTCTTTATGTGAAATAATTATGGCTACCTTTTGTCAATATTCCTATTCCTTGTGATCAGTTCAGTCAAGTTTAACTACAGCAGTTTAAGAGCCCCTTTGTTTCCAAGAAAGCGTCACCATGGTCGCAATCTCTTTCAAATTTAATCGGAACAGAACATTTTGTTCTTCTCCACCAGCAACTTACGCTCTCCCCAATCTTTCCATTTTACAGAGAGTGGTTACTTTTAGGAATTTTGACTTTCTTTTTATAATACCTTAGTGTTACTCGCGTGTTCAGTGTTACTTGCGTGTACAGGTTTATGGAACAATCTTCGATACAAAAGTGACTTTATTTTAGAATAGTAACTTCATTGTTTTTTATGCTTTTGTCAACACGCAGGGGGATGCTGGGAGAATTCTGGGGGAATCTGATATCTTTGTTCGTTTGTTTGTTTTTACAGCGTCAAGCCTTGAGATCTGTACCAGTATCTCAAGTGAAATATGACTGGAAGGACGTTTCTGCTCGTTTTTGGGTGTATGGTCTTGATCACAAAGTGCATGCCCCGAACTACCCCCAACAGTGCTGTTGTGGTTGCACTATACTGTAGGAAGGAAAGGGGGAAGGGTGACTGCAAATTGGTATTCCGTTGATATTCCGTTGATACCATGGTTGGGGGGAGGGGGGAGGTGGTAGTTGTCCGGGCGAATGTGGTAGTGTTTATTTTAAAGCAAGACTGGAGCTATCTTCTTATTGTCGACGTACTTTACGTTTTTTTTGCGGATTGTGGATCCTATTTTTTTCATTACCAAATTACTGCTCTAAATCATTTATAGATTTTTTTTTTTTTAATGAACCAGGCACGTCCGTAGCGAACTTTTGTGAAACACCAGGTGCTAAGAATGAATGGTGGAAATTCTTTCAATCCCGCCGTGCGACCCTTCGCACGACCCTTAGTAGAAGCAGAATGGACGAAGAAGGGAAGAAAAAAGCGGGGGTCATTTGATATGATGGCCAACTCCTACTGAGTCAAAAGTATATCTACTCAGTCAAAAAGTATATAGTATCCATCCTACTATTTTTCATGCTAGAGTAGTCTTGGATGGACTGTCTCGATTATCTATGGTGAATGAACCTGGTTCGGTAACGAACTGCAAAGCTGGTGTGCGAAGTTGTCATGCTAACGATATTGAGAAGTCGGGAAGTTGATCGGATAGGATAGGATAACTTTATTTATACAGGATTTTTTCATCTGTTGATTTAGTTAATTCTATACTAGAAACCTATCTATCTAACTACAATAATAATTTGATAATAATTCAAATAAAAGAAATAATTAAAAAAATCTGCTTTTCATGGAGGCCGTGTCTAAAATTTACTTAAAACTAAGATCTTACTTTAAACTGTGGCGATTTAATTTAGATTTGAAGTCAGTCATCGACGACGCTTGTCTTAGGTCTACAGGTAAGTTGTTACATAATTGAGCTCCGCTGTACACAAACTTCTCTTGAGATAGTCAGTTCGAGGTTGTCGAAGAACTAATTTGTTTTCGGTATTCTTTGAACGATAAGGACTTCCACTGTCACGATATACAAATCTTGATCTCAGATAATCAGGTGTCATACCATGTAATGCTTTACACGTTAGGATAGATTTCTGTTCCAACCTTTGATAGTAGAGTCTTCGCCACCCTACCGCCCGGAACAAATCATCCAAATTACTATAATACATAAACTCCAAGGGATTTAGCGGAGGTTACTTGTTCGATTCCGTTTTCGTTTATAATAAGAGAGGGACTTTCCGTAAATTGTGATAACTTCTGCCTTGATGCAATAAGCATGAATTCAGAAATCCCTAGAAGGATACTGTCCTGGGTCAAATGAATACGACAAGGTAACCCGATAGTGACCTGACTCGATAACCAGCCGAAGGTCCAGCTGAGTCCACGTTGCTCTCCTCTCCTCGTAGAGAGGAGCGAAGGCCAGTTACGTTTGAGAAAACGAGGAGAATTGAGTTCGGTGATACATTCCTGTTAGAGTAATTTCAAGTATGGAATAGGAAAATTCAATGGTAGCATTATTATTATCATAAGCAGCAAGTAGATGACAGGTCCACATTCCTGGTCTCAGATAAAATATTTGAATTCAGAAAACTTCTATCAAACTGAAAAATTTTTAACTACTTTTCTTTGTTTGAGAAGTGATTCCAAAACCTCGTGCGTGGGATTTCATCAGGTTTCCAATCGCTCGAAATCAATGACACCACTCGGCCTGTAGCCTCGTAGTTTCAAATGTTTTCTCGCGTTTGGAAATCAGATGAAACCCCTGTACTCGTTTTTGAAATAGTACTTTAATGGTCAGAGTGACCGGCGTCTAATGTTTCCTCATTGTAAGATTTTTCGAATGATTTATCACATGAAATTAAATGAAATAATCGTAAACCCGAGAAGCTTTAATTGTAAAGGAAGTTCTCCTTATCTTTATGAAAGGAAATTTGAAGAGAAAAGTTTGGAGAATATGGATGTTGATGTTGAATAAATACATTCGGAAATCAGTCCGGATTAGGATTGCTTCTCCGAATGGCGTTACATTCCACCTGGTGTCCCACACGGGACCAAGCTTGGGCCATGGTTATTTTTAAAAATGATAAATGATCTGAATGCAGGAGAAGCACATATGTGGAAATGTGTGGATGATACCACAATCTCAGAGGTGATAGCTAAAAGCCAAAAGAACTGTATTCAGCAAATGGTAAACGATCTCGCAATACAAGCAACGGATGAAGGCTTTCAGTCAAACGAAAGAAAATGTAAAGAGCTTAGGATTAGCTTCGCAAAAAGCGAACCAGAATTTGACCCTATCTGGGTTAACCATCAGAACNTTCTAGTTGGGGTCCACTTAACACCCTTTGAAAAAGCATGCTAATTTCTGCCCTTATGAGTAGCAGTCAAGACCACTTTACAATTTTGGGAGTATTTTGGGTTCTTAGATGACATTAAGGATTTGGTGGCAGTTTTACCATGACATTTTATACTTAATACTACTTAAACAAATTTATTCGGAAATTGTACAACTGAAGCTATAGTTTAGTTTATAGGAAAACATACTTGTTAAACTATATTGTCAACTTTAAATCAGGGCAAAGGCCTTAAGACGTTTCCCACTTGAATCAAGAGTTCTTTTGGTAATATTCGTATTCCAGGAAATTGTACTTTTGATGAGAAAACGTTCTGCTGCTGGTCCAATGAAAGATACACCGACCAATTTGATTGGGTACTTGGACAAGGAAGTTCTCCAAGCTCTGACACTGGACCAATAACTGATTATGCAGGTACATTGGAGAATTAATTTTCTACGCAATGTACTCTTCGAAATAAGCTATCCGCTGGGAAATTTCATAACCTGATTAGTATAAACCTTACATGTGTGTTCAAGAATCGCGCAGTTTACTATTAAAATGATTCACTATTATATGATAAGCTTAATCATAAATTTAACAGCTTTTAACTTTTCTACCAGGAAAAACGGGAGGCGCGATAGCCACTTGGTTAGTGCGCTCGACTCTGGATCGAGTGGTCCAGGGTGTTGTGTTCAAAGGCAAGGCACTTTACTCTCACAGTGCCTCCAGGTGTTTAATAAACGAATTTAATGCGGGGAGTAACCCTGTGATGGACTTGCATCCCTTCCAAGGGGGAGTAGAAATACTCCCAGTCGCTTCATCCAACGGAAACCGGAGTTAAGCGCCGCTCTTATGGGCCACTTTGCTCGTAAATAGACTTTACCTATTAGGCAAAACAAATAGATTTCGTTTTACTGTACGTCTGTTTAAAAACAGATCACAGAAGACATCAAACTGTAAAACGAACATCAGAGACACATCCAGGTGCGCTTCGGGTGCCTCCCCCCCCCATTTTTTTTTTTTCGGTTTTACCACATCTTGACTTAATCTGTGATCAATAACTGATCAGACGCACGGCAATATAGAAGCTATTTCTTAAATTGAAGGGATTTGAATTGCATTAAAGGGATGTATTGCACACTTCCTCAGAAAATGGCTGGTACATCTACATTCAAACGTCATCTCCTCGGAAGTACAACGAGAAGGCAAGATTGAATAGCCCGTGGTTGAATGGTCCACTGTGGATGACATTTTTTTACTCCATGTACGGCAGTACCATTGAGACTCTCTCTGTATATNTTTACAATGCTTGGTCTATGAACACCTCTCGTAATAGAGAGAAACAAACAATCTTCTTGCAACAGTTATAAACCCAGCGTATTTTTTTTTTCTATTCATTTGAAAGTCCATGGAAAAAAGGTTTTCACATATCGCAAATCTGTTTATTTTCCAAGATGTTCCCCTGCCCGTAGCTCTTTTTTCCACGCATCGCAGCGATAGAGTTGTTGACCATAGTCCAAATGGAGGCACCAAAGCAGTTTCCAATAACATCATGCTGGCGACAGGTCCCTTTGGTGATCCAGCTGGCTCCTTTCTTATCAGCGGTTTTAATAACAGCTATGTGGAAGTTGAAAATGGGGGAGAACTTGATACAAGGTTTTCGGTGAGTGTTTTTGCATGGGTGCACCCTGACGCCTCTGCCTCTCGTGCTGGTCTGATATATGAGTATGGTTGCTCGATGTGGTATTTTCCTTCGACCTTGGGACTTGAAATTCGTTATATGGTCAGGGATCGTTCTAAGACTCACATATTAGGTATAGAAGGTGTTATCAAAGTAAACGCGTGGAATTTTGTGGGGACGACGTACGATATTCACGCTGGCGTTGCGGCTGTGTGGGTAAATGAGAGCATGGTTATGAACAAGTCTATTGGAACCAACGTGGAATTGGCAACTCAAGGAAATCTTACTATAGGAGCGTCGAACAACCATGAGATGCAATTTTATGGAAAAGTTTCCTGCCTGCAGTTCTACGATCAAGCATTGTCCGTGGATCAAATTATGAAGATAAAGACAAGATGCAATCAATCCAGTAAGCATGTTTGATAAATGTCTCTGTTTGGAGCTTGTTGTCTAACCTAGGGAAAATTTATCTCAAGTGATATTGGTTCAGGAACCCGTCAATTTCCATTTTATCAATTTCCATTATAATTGGCCTGGGTGTGTTTCTCGGAGTAGCGCCGTTACGTCTCACTTTTCTTCTGTCTATTTCTTTGATTCATTTAACCTGCCCTTGTAAGCAATGCTTGAAAATCAGCTGTCTGAGTACATACTTGTTATAAGCTACTTGTTCTTGCAACGTTTACAAGTTTGGAGAAACCTCTTTACGTGATATGTGTGGTCCTTTAAACATATTAGGATAACACTTCACTCAACTCAACTCAACAACCAGGTGTCCTTTATAGGTTTCTTCCTGGTATAGCTCAGCCGCGAATTCTAGAGTTAGATTGTTCACTTTGAAGATCAAATCTAATTCCATGCCTTTTTATCGGTAGTCTCACCAGTGACTTCCCCAGATCACGAAAGAGTGGGATGTTATAGAGACACAAACAATCGTGCAATTCCAACATTAGAAGGAGCTGACCCCTTATTGGTCGGTGCTTACCTGAACCGTGAAAACGCGATCGAGAAGTGTGCCCTCGCAGCTCACAAAAGGGGCTTTCGCATGTTTGCAGTTCAGAATGGTGGATGGTGTGCAGCTAGTGTCTCAGCAGAAAAAACGTTCAACAAATATGGCCAGAGCACTTATTGCCGCAGCGATGGCGAAGGAGGACCTTGGTCAAACGATGTTTACATTATTAAAGGTTTGTCGATTTGATCAACGCAGCATCTCCATCTGAAAATTGGTGTCCCGTAATGTTATTTGTGTGGGTTTCTTCTCTTATTTTTGGAAAAAATCCTTATTTAATTCAACAAAATTTTTCGAGAAATTATAATTCATCAAGCAAATGGGCACGTGATGGCTAAAGAGGAGTGTTTATTTTTTTAAGTCACAAGTAGAAGGCAGAGTTCTTGGGCAAGACATGAAATAGCAGATTTCGTGTCAAAAATTTAAGGTTTTAACCTTCAAGAGGTTGTTTTGCTGTTTGGAATCTTTAAACTCTCCTTGTTCCATGACTTTATGTATACTTTTAAATAAGACTTTATATTAAAAAAATTAATGATTTTCGAAGAGTATTTCCCCTTTTGGTGAAATAAGAGTCATTTGACTACAACTACTCATGGAACTTCGTGCAAATTATTGCCATTTCTGTTTAGTCCACATTTGGATGATAAATAAAAGAGTCAAATACCATGAAAAACGGGGAGTAAATGAAATTAAAACAACAGACAGAATCCATAAATAGGTCTGTAAGTTAATGTGAAACAAATTTTTCACCAGGTAAGTACCTGAGGTTTCGGATTGATCTACACACATTCCATCCGTCAATATCACATCGTCGACTGCAATGTCCCCTTGGTAACTCTGGCCAGCGACTCCTTGTAGTGCCACCTGCAAAAATATTGTCATAGATATTTCTCAAAATTTTTGGTCTCGTAAACTATTTCAACTTATGCGAATTGGTATTACATTTTCTTCGGTGTAATTATTATTTCAAACTATCTGGACACTTGTTTTTGCAAGAAGGCGTGCAACAACAAATAAGGACCAGTTATACGCCTCTATAGTTCATAAAACGTTTGTAAAAATTGAAATAAACATGGAAACGTTGGCATAATTTATGTATTTTCTTATTTTGGGAAAATTTCTTCAGTTTGCTCATCTATTTCCTATTCGACCGTTCTTTACTCTATTCTAATTTGTTTCCAATGCGAATTCGAAGCTTTAGCTCTGATATTCAACTGAATATCCTGACTGCAATGTTAAAAACAAACCGAGCCCAAATTATGGGAAAAGTTGGGTTGACCTCAGCCGAGTTCTGGTATCTGCTTTTTCTTCTTAGCCTCTGTGGATTGGTTTCAAAACTTATCTAGGATCATCGCGTGCTATCAAGGGAAGAGGATGTTGTGAAATGTAAGGCAGGGGAGGAAAGAGTTTCTGTCGACAGACTCATTCCACTAAAGCAGGTTATCCTATTGAATCCATGACATAAATCTTACCTGAAACTCGCCCACAAAAGGTATAAAGACAACGGCCTTTCTCCACTGATTGCCTTGGTTTCCTGTTCTTTGCCAAGTCAGGTAATTTTGCCGTTGTCCCGTAGCCCTCACTAATACATCAAGTCTTCCTATATGTAATCCATACATGTGATAAAAGAAGTGTAAACATTTTGGTCCCCAGATGAAAGGACTTAGCAGCTCTGCGAACTGATTTTGTTTTGCTGGATATGACGCTTCGATGTGGATGTATCTTCCACCTCCTGTAAAGATATGAGCGAATAGTTACATGCACTGATAAGCAGCTGCAAAAAGAAACATTAATGGCATTTTTGTAGTTAATTTACATCAACAACCCTCTCCTTAGCTTTAAGCTTAAATTGGAGAAAAGTCACTCTAAAGCGGCAAGTAGATGG